GTTTTAGCACAGAATTTTGAGGTTTGATTTCACTTCTTTATTTACCATAATTTTAACAGGAACTTTCTTTATACTCTCTCTTGCACCTACTAAGCACAGAATTTTGATATTGATTTCAATTCTTTATTTACCTCAAAATTCAAGTACTCCAATCCATTTAAGTAAAGCTAGTACTTACTTTATGTACATTTTTGTGTGAATTGAAATTCGTAGTAATTCTTTCCCAAGCTTCATTTTTTTCTTTATTACTGAATTTGTCGGTTTTTTTTGATTCAACTATATGTTTCTCAACCGAAATACAATATAGTATTATGGCTTTTTCTTCCTCACTAATATTTGGGGCACGAGCACGTTTAACTTTATCGTCATTTATCATAGACATAATAACGATATTTACAAAAAATTGATTCGTAAGGAGAAGTAGACTGTAAAGGGAAAATAAGAGCTGAAAGCAAAATATACCGTTCCTACATAAATTAATAGTGACTACCTATACGGCTATACACTTTTTAGTTTGATATTATCAGTGTTATCATAAATTTGTACTTATTATCAATCGTTATCTCAGCAGCTTTCACTGATTGAACATAGTAACCGTGATAAAAATGATTATCATCCCATAAATTTTTACATAGCTATGGAATACATAAATAATGTTTATGCAACACACATTTTCTGTGATCCATAAAAAATGTAATGGGATACATAAATATGTTATGGGTCACTTAGCTATGGGATACTTAAGCAATAATATGTAACACATAACAGTAGGACTGTGCATACGGACATTAGGGCCGTATGCATAGTCACTTTATGTGTTACATAAGATCAAGTTATGTGAAACATAAATTTGATTTTTAATTATTTGTTGCATAGTGGTATTTATGTGCCGCATAGTCATTTATGTAGCACATAAAGTTATGCGCTCAATTTGCACTGCATAAGTCTTATGTGATTCATACATTTGTTGTTTTGCGTCTATTATCAATATTTTTTCTATAAAATACCTTTCATTTCTCAGGCTTAATAGTTTATGTTCAAAATTTAAATCTCAACTTGAGAAATATGGATGATTTTTATGATTTTGTTGATTATTTGGAAATGGTTGATGAAAATTTGGAAAATATTGATGTTGAACGAATACCAAGAAAATATATTCGTAATCTGGAAGATCCGCTTGAAAAATATAATGACGACCAATTTTTAAAGCGATACAGATTTCCAAAAATAATTGTTATGGACAAATTATCAAATTTGTTAGGAGTTCATTACACCAATAATCGTGGGTTGTCTATTCCGCTTATTTTACAGTTATTAACTACATTGCGATTTTATGCAACATCAAACTTACAAGTAAGTTGATTTGGATTGGTAAATAGAATCAAAATCCTATTGCAAAGCACCTATTGTATTATAGGCTGTTTGTGGAGATCTGAGAGGGATTAACCAGAGCACTGTATCTAGAATTATAAAAAGAGTTTCGGATCAGATTGCTAGTCATTTTGGAGAACACGTTAAGTTTCCTCATACAGAGGCTGAATGGGATGTCATTAAACAAAAGTTTTTTAGTATAGCTGGAATGCCAGGTGTTGGAGGTTGCATTGACTGCACTCATATCAAAATCCAAAATCCAGGTGGTCTTAATGGTGAAGTATTTCGAAATAGAAAAGGATGGTTCTCTTTAAATGTTCAAGTAAATAATATCATTTATTTATTCTTTTTTTAAATAAAAATGCTACTATACCTATTGAAGTAGTACATTCATATTTAAGAATGTATTAATTTAAAATTATTGATTATTATGATATTGCAGTTAGTTTGTGGTCCGCAGATGGAAATACAGGATTTGGTGGTTAGATGGCCAGGTAGCTACCATGATAGTTTCATCTTCAATGCTAGTCATGCATGTGCTGTTTTTTCAAACAGCAATAATAAACTTTTACTTTTGGGAGACAATGGTAAATTAGTTTCAATAAACTATCTATAGCCTAAAATTATATTTTATTTATTAAGTATTGAATTATTATAGTTTGTTTATTTATTAAGTTTTATACTCATTTTATTCTCTTGTAAGTAATAAGTACACAAAGTAATTAATATATTTTGTTTAGGATATGCATGCAAACCCTACATTTTTACTCCTTTACTTAATCCAGTAATAAATGCTGAGAAGAATTATAATAAAGCTCACATCAAAACAAGAAATATAGTGGAAAGAGTATTTGGTGTATGGAAAAGGAAATTTCCATGTCTAAGAAGAGGTTTAGCAAATGCGCCAAAAACAACTGTTTCAATAATTTTAGCATGTGCAGTGCTATACAACTTAAGTTTAAAACTTAGATTACCAGAATTTGATATTGTAGGAGAAAATGATGATGAAGTAGAAAATGTTGATGAAAATGAAAATGAAGATGTTGTTGGTGCAGCTGCTAGGAAAGCTTACATCATTAGACATTTTAATTAAATCATCATGATTTTAATTTTCCAAGTAATAATTTTTATTAGTTATGAGAAAACAATGTATTATAAAAATATACATAACATAACAAATTAATAAAATATAAGTTACTTATTATATAGTATAATTTACTAATTATTAACAATTAAAATTTAACAATTCTGTAACGGTTTTTTGATTTCTACTATTTTCAGTAGTTCATAAATAAAAATAAACAATCCTTTATACCAGTCTTGGTTTCTTTTTACTAAGTAGTTAACAATTTAAAATAAATATAATAAGGAACAGTGTTTTAAACCAGTCTTTTGGTTTTTTATACAGGGTATCCTGTGAGAAAATTCAAATTACAATCAAATTTTAAACAATTACTTTAGTCAAAACAATATTTTTTTTAATCACTACTTATATGATCATTTTTCAATTTTTTTATTTTCAACAAAAGTTTTTCTTTTTCAAGTTCAAATAAAATATCTTTTTTAACTCTATTATTTAAAACTTCTTCTATTAATAGCTTTTGGTGCTAAATCTGAAAAAAATAATGATAATTATCACCAACCTTATTATAATATTTGTATTTAAAACTAAATCAATAATTTTATTTTATTTTTTAATAATATGATTTGATTCATATAGTTTAATAATATTGTTTAATAATTTATCACCTGTAATTCATACAAAGTCCTTTCATATTCAGCATTTGTTTTCAATTTTTTTATTCTTTGTTCTGCTTCTTCATTCGCTAAAGACTTAAGCGACTTCTTGAGTGTGTTTTTACTTGATGTAGTTACATTGTTTTCCGTCATATTTTCTTTACTTTGATGACCCATTACATCCATTACTTCAAATTGAATATTGCCAAAGTTTTCACTGATTTCATCTGATGCTGTTTAGTAACATAATATTATACACAAAACATGTAGGTAAATTATTTAAACAGTTCAACAAAATTTAAATTACCTTTATCATCTATCAATATATAATTGTTTATAGAATTATCAGAATTTTCAGCAGTACTAAACTAACAGTATTTTACGAAAATGAAAGACTAGTTTTTATAACTAAAATACCATTAATAACAGATACAGAATTAATACTATACAACGCTATACCTATTCCGATGGTGAGAACATTAAATTATGGTAATTCAATTAATACCAGGGTAAGCATAAATCCAGAAAACCCATACATAGCCATTACAAAAGATAGACGCGAATACACTACTTTTACCGAAATTCAAATTCAAACATGTAAAGAAACCACAATTTATCGAATATGTCACGCTTATCAACCCATACAAGAA